GTCAATAGGTTAGTAGCTTTGTTTCATAATTGCCGAGTACATTAGGTTAGCCGAGATGATAACAGTCACGCCGATGCACTAGCCAATATGGCCAGTGCAATATAACCTGGAAAAGCAAGGACAATAATGGTCGAATACTTGTCAGGCCCGAGCATCGAACCACTGACCACAGAGCATGAAGCAATGTGTGTAGACATGAGACCAAGCTGGATGGATGCAATTGTTGCATTCTTGAAAGAAGGAAAGCTGCCAGATTACCACAAGGAAGCACACAAGATCAGATTGAAGTTGGCAAGATTCAGTCTAACAGCAGAAGGACATCTCTACAGAAGATCTTTCACTGGACCCCTTTTAAGGTGTGTACACCCATCACAAGTTGAGGATTTTTTATATGAAATACATGAAGGAATCTGTGGAAGCCACATTAGGGGCAGATCACTTGCCCACAGGGCCATTACCTAGGGATATTGGTGGCCCTACATGCAGAAAACTGCAGAAGCCTATGTGAAGAAATGTGAAAAATGCCAAAAGTTTGCACCATTGATACACCAACCAGCAGCAGACCTAAACCCAGTATCCAGTCCTTGGCGGTTTGCCCAATGGGGCATGAATCTTGTTGGGCAACTGCCCCAAGCAACTGAACAAAGGAAGTATCTGCTGGCAGCAACAGACTACTTCACCAAGTGGATAGAAGCTGAGCCCCTAGCCAAGATCCGAGATGTAGACGTGAAGAACTTCTTATGGAGGAACATCATCACCAGATTTGGAATTTCGAGAGCAATAGTTGCTGACAATGGAACACAATTTGACAACAAACTAATCAAGAACTTCTGTGCAAAGTTCAAGATCAAGAACTACTTTTCAACCCCAAGCTTTCCTCAAAGCAATGGACAAGCAGAAGCATCGGATGGTAGAGCTCGAGGATGGAGGATGACCTCGAGGTGGTTGCAAAGGATGACCTCGGCCTCTTTGATTTCGGAGAATCAGATGGCTGGGCCTCGGCAAGCCTCTTCTCCGTGGTAGGCTGGGACTTGTCATTCTCAGCCAGTTTGGAGATCGGCAAAGTGTCCTCAGTGTCAACCTGAGTCACCTTGGCCTTTGGTTGAGCCTTTTTAATTTTTTTTTTATTTTGGTGGAGGCTGGGTTTGCGTTGGCTAAGCGTCAACGGTTGATGGGATGCTGGCCAGGAGATCTTTTGTAACAGCGTTTTGACGGCCCATCTCAGCAAGAAAAATGGTTCGTCGTCGGCGTTATCGTTGGGATATTGGGATCAGGTATGAAGCCGAGGTTGACGACTGCTCAGCTGGATCAGAGGTTGATCATTGGTCTGTCCGAGATGTGGACGCGGCTTGTGGAGTTGTGGCAGATGGTGGAGAAAGACTCTTTTTCTTCCTTTTTAGAACGTCGGGGAGTACTGATTTGTAAGTGGGAATGAAATTAAGTACCAGAGGAGCTCTCCGTTTGAGGACTGGCATATCCAAGAGTTTCCTCAAGTCTTTGCTGGGATAGAAAGACTGACGGAAGCCCTTTGGTGGCTGAGGAAGAGCTGCAAGAAAAAACAAACATTAGAGCAAATAAAATGTTGAAAACTTTAAAAACAAGTAAGTATGAACACAGGGCTCTTACCATTTCCCTCTACGAAAATTGTTCGAGGAAGAGGATAGAGATGAAGGTTATCATCTGGAGCGAACTCCTAGTTCCCCGAGGTAATAAAGTAATCATCTCCAGCTCCCTTGTTGGAGTCTGGGAGGTTGGCTACGATTTTGTATTCGGTGGATCTCGGCTTGAGGTAGTAGACATAGCCCTTGTTTTTTTTAAGGCCACACATGGTGTAGCAATACTGGATATCGGCTAAGGTAACCCTAACATTTTCTTGTTTGGCTAAGGCTATGATGCCATTAATGACTCGATAGGAATTGATGGCAAGCTGCATTGGGTTCAGTTTATAGTATTGAAGTATTTCACGAAAAAGGATATTGAGTGGAAGCCGAAGTCCGCACTCAATAAAGGCAACCACAGGAAAGGGCATGGAATCCGTTGTAGGCATGATGAAGTCATCATCCCCAGCCAACCTCAGATGGACGTCGGCAGGGATGGAAAACTCTCGTCTAAAGTAGTCTAATTTTGTCAGGGTGTTTACCCTATGCTTCCACATATCCATGGTGTCGGCTTAAATGGAGGTATCCGATTTCAAGAAGAAGTATTTTTGGAGGGTTTAAAGGACCTCGGCTAAAAACCTAAAAATGTACTACGGTAAGGGTTTGTACAGATCTAGAAGGAGTTCGTTTCAGTTTTCCCTAAAATTCATGGGTTCTACAAACAAATCCCAGACCTAGATCTAAAGAAACGAAGATTGAAGGCAGGAATCTGGAAAAGACACAAAAAACAGAAAACAAGAACGTATTTCAGAATCAAGAACAAGGGTGAACTACCAAGAGCACTGTGACAGAGTGTGTGAAAGGGTACAAGGTTAAGAACAGTTGCAAAATTACAGAAAAATTGTGAGCAGTGTGTGCTTTCAAGACATGAGCAAGGGAAAAATCGTGAAATAAACACATTCAGATGCATGATTCATAAATCAAGTGTTTGAGTAAAACAACAATGGCGACTAATGATAAAGTAAAATTTCTTGAAAAAGCAACAAGAAATAAAGAACCAGGAGGAACAGTAGCTTACCAGAAAGAGGGAAGCCGAAATGGGATTTGCCGAAGTTTGACGACGGTTGCAGAGACGGAAGATCGGTGGAAATCACGCCGGCGGTGGTAAATGAAGCAAAGTCACAGAGTTCAGAAAGCTTGAGTAATGGCGGACCAGAGGAAGAGAGCTAGAGAGAGAAAGAGCTAGAGGATTGAACAAACAATGAAACGACGAAGAGACGAAATTTTTTTTTGTTAAAACTTGAAATGGCGGCAGACGAAATTAATGCGCCTAAAACAACGTGAGCGTCGATTTAGAAGCGCGTCACAAGCACGATCCAGTAAGAGGAAAGTACGTGGTTAGAAATGGTTGAGTTGTTATGCATGATAGCTCATGCGCGTGAAGAAGTTCTTGAAAATCTTAGTCGTTAAGAAGACATGTTGGCTTATAGTAAAGAGCTTGGCTTAAACCAATGTACTGGCAGGAAGTACTGATATAGGTTCCATTACCTCAGAATGCCGATGTAATAGAACCTAGGAGGCAGTTGTGGGGATATATTTTCTGAGTCCCAACACGTGGCCAAGGTGACGCCGACGTGTCAGCCGAGGTGCCACGTGTCTAGGACATGACACCGAGGTGATCTCGGCAAGGCCGAGGTTATCTCCGAAGATATCGGAATCCGAGATAAGCGGATAAGACATAAGAGTCCTAGAATAAGGAAGGACTATAGCATGGATAAGGATAACACTCTTAGGGAGTTTATCTTTATCTCTTGGAGAGTCCAGGATAAGTACTGAGCAAGAGTCCATTGAAGCTAGACTTCTAGTGGGACAATGATTGAGTTTGGTATAAAAGAGAGGCACCCCCATGAGTCTAAAGTACGCAATTTATATTCTGAACAGTGAGTTTAACACTATTTATTATCTTTGAGAGATATACTGACTTGATCGTCGGAGTGCCCCCGGGTGGACGAACCACCGCCGGAATCTTCTCTTTCTGTTGCAGGTTAGCCAGGTGTCATCTATTCTGCCAGTGCTCTCCAGCTGATTACTAAGTTGAACAGTGTGATCGGAAAATCACTCACACACAAATTATATCCGATTTCTTGACAATTATAATAAATAAAGCATGACAATTTTAAATAATGTTTTTTTAATGTGTGTTATTTGAAAGTGTGTTACTTTAGCTCAAAAGTTATATTTATTTTTTAAATTTAATAATATAACAGTATATTAGAATATTTCAGTCATTTTTTTTCTCTCCCTCTTTTATATTGTTTAATAATAGTCATGTCTATTACACATCATTTGATCTAAAAAGTGAATTTATATATCATTTTTAATTTTTAAAAATTGTTTAACTAAAATATATTTGTTTTATGTTGAAATGAAAAATTACTACTCATTATTTTCAATTTAAAAACTTTCAATTCTCAAAAAAAATTAAATCAACAATATAAGATTCAAATTCACATTTATAATATTTACGAAAAGATTTGGCTAGTGAGGGCACTAACACTATGTTTGGTTGAACGATTTGGAAAGATATTTAAAAAAAGAAAAAGAAAAGGTAAGTATCATATGAATAAAATATATCTACATTTTTCACACACATTTTCCCTTTCTTTTTCTAAATCCATTTCTAAATCTCCTAACCAAACACAACGTAAGTTTAATGGTTAAATATGTTTAAATTGATTGTCAGCTCTTCCATATATTAGTATAAATATAAATAGCTCCATTTGAAAATTAATTATTTTAATTTTTTACAAACAAAATATGCAATAATAATAATAATAATAATAATAATAATAATAATAATAATAATAATAATAATAATAATAATATGACAATTTATAAAGACTTTTTAATTTTTTAATTAGAAATTTTCCTTCCCAAACATAGCCAATATTCCAAGCTTTTCATTAACAAAAGAGTAATGTTAAGGATCCTAAATATTTTACCAATATTACTAACTTTTGGGAAGTAGGTTAAACACTAATTTTTTTAATTTTTTTGAAAAAATGTGTAAAAATGTAAATAGGTAATGTGATTCAAAAGAGATTAAAAGTCAAAAAATTAACTTTTAATCTCTTGCCAAAAGAGGCCTAATAATGATATCCTTGATAAAATCATTCTCTTTTTGATATTTTTTTCAAAACTTATCATTCAAATGTGATAATTATTTAATAATTTCAGAATATCATATAATATTGTTTATGTAATATTCCAAACAAATCACCTAGTGAAAATTTTAGAAAACAAAACATAGTGACTCAAATTTATTAGATAATTATAAAAACCAATGTTGTGATTTATTATTAGTTATAAAATAGTACAAAGACAATGTCACAGATACACTTAGAACCCAACATCTAATAGTAAGCCCTGCCATGGCTATTTAAGACTTGGTGTTTCATATCAATGCTTCCAAACAGCAATGGATTTCTTCTCTCCCAACCACCTCCCATGGTTTCCTGCTTCCATCATTCTGCTTTTTTCTTCTCTCTCCTTCCTCTTTTTCACCAAAAAGTCCAAAACACCAACCAACCTTCCTCCAACCCCACCAACCCTTCCCATCATCGGCAACCTCCACCAACTTGGCAAGCTCCCTCACCGCTCACTTACCCAACTCTCAAAGAAACACGGCCCTGTCATGCTCTTGAAACTTGGCCAAGTCTCATGCCTTGTCGTTTCGTCCCCCGAAACAGCCAAACAGGTCCTAAAAACTCATGATCTTGAATGTTGCAGTAGACCCTTCTCTCACGGCCCCAAAAGACTATGTTACAATCTCCTAGACTTGGCTTTCGGGCCTTACAGCAATTACTGGAGAGAAATGCGAAAGCTCTGCGTGAGCGAACTTTTCACAGTAAAAAGGGTTCATTCGTTTCGACACATTAGAGAAGAAGAGTTGGGTAAGATGATCACACACATCAGCCAAATCTCTCCTAATAATCCAGTCAATTTGAGCGAGTTGGTATTCTCTCTCACGAACTCGATTATTTGTAAGGTTGCCTTGGGGAAGAGCTATGAGGGGAAGCAATTTGAGAGTGGTAAGTTTCAAGAGAGTATTGATGAGGCTATGGCCATGTTGAGTAGCTTTTGGGGGTCGGATTTCTTTCCGTATGTAGGGTGGTTTGTTGATGTATTTACAGGACTCCATTGGAGGCTTGAGAAATGCTTTCGTGAGTTTGATGCGTTTTTCGAGAGGGTGATTGAAGAGCATCTTGGTCCTAATAGGATAAAGTCTGAGCATGAAGACATTACTGACATCTTGCTGGGATTGTCCAAGGATGAAACTGCTTCTTTTCGTCTTACCAGAAACCATATAAAGGCAATTCTCATGGTAATTATCTCTAATTTACTTTTTTCTTTTATATTGGTTTTACACTTTCAAGTTCTACTAAGACACGCGTAATTATTATTATTATTTTTTAAAAAAAACTTTTTTTTGCCTTCAGTAATTTTTTTTCCTTCAAATTTTAATACTCTTTAAATCATGTTACACTAAACAAACCTCAAATTAGATTTTTTTTAAAAAATACTAAAGACAAAAATGTTCGGATGAACCCAAACTTACCCAAATCTACCTTCATTTTTACAAGTCAATACTGAGCATAATAGTGAGCTAAAATCAATTGCTTGTGAGCTCAATTTGGTCAGAATTCAGTTCCAGCTTGATTTGTTATGTATACAAATGAATCCAAGTGAAAATTTTAAGCTCATTTAACAAATGAGTAGAACTCGAGTTAGAATTACATCGATTAATTTATTATTTATTTAAATAATAAAATATTTATTATTTATATATTAAATAATTTAAAATGTCTTACATATTAATTTAACATAATAGTTAACGAGCAGATTGAATTAAAAGTATCCAACAATATATTTTGAAAATTAGATGATATAGTCGTTAATTATTTAAAATTAGCAGCAACCCCTCCAAAACTTAACAAAACATGTGTTTGAATTGTTTTGATATTTTCTATGTGAATTTTTGTTAGATTGAAATAAACAACTTGTGAATTGTTAACCAATAATTTAAAAAATTATTCGTTTAGCAATATGTTTTTGTTCAAAACAAAATAAATAGTATGAGAGTAGGCACGAACTCTACATGGACTCCTATAATAACTATTGAGTGTTGTGTAAATTAGGAAAATGTTTATGATTTATAAAAAAATAAATTATAATTTGATTCATAATGATGTGACATGATATATATTAATTAACGTATGTTCGTGTCTAAAGATACAATGTAAATAACGTTGTGATCAAAATACAGTTGTAATTTATACGTATCATATTAAAATTTATAAAGTCTGTAATATTTTTTGACAAAAATATTGAAAAAATATTAAAAAAATACTATTCTTTTTTAAAAAAGTATAACAATTTTACTTGTATTGTATCATATGCTTTATAAAAATTCGAATAAAATAACAACAAAATAACCAAAAACTCCGATAATGGAGCCCACAGAGAAGCACCAAAATACTCCCACTATTGGCAAACAAATAATTATTCTGTTGTTATATATATACTACCAAATAAATAATTATTATGTCGTTTAAGAATTTCAATTTGGTAGTTTGTCCAACAAACAATAAAAGCTAAATAAATTAAGATTCTAAAAATAAAAATAATAATATATACAATATTGTGATTTTTCAAAAGTCGTGGAATTTTCGAATCCCCTTCCTTGGTTGGTGGTGGGTCACCCAAAGCTTTTTTTTATCAAATTTATTGACTTAAAATAAATTTTGTAGATTTAAAATTTAATTTATCATATTTATTGACTTTGAAATGAATTTTGTAAAAGTACCCAAACATAAATACACCCCAATAAAATTAAAGTAAAAATTGAAAATATAATTTATCATAAGAATTTGAAGTCAAAATTATATTAATAAAAAAGTTATTCTTTTCAGTTTTTGAACAAATCACACCACTCCCATTATCACCCCTTTCTCAAAATTCACTTTTTGGATAATTTTTTAACATAACCCAATTTAAACCTAATTTAAATTTTGAGTTCAAATTTATCTACACACACAAAAAAAAAAAAAGCATTTTCTACATAAACATAAGTCATAAACTCAATTTAAACTCAATTTTCATACAAATTTAAATTCACCATTTTTTTAACAGAGCTCAATTTAAACTTCATTTAAATTTTGAGTTTAAATTTATCCACCAAAAAAAACGAACATTTTCTACAAACATTTTTCAAAAAGGGTGGATTTAAAAAAAAAAAAAAAAATTAAACCTACATTTTTTTGTGTGGTGTTGTGTTGCTGGATGACCCCCTAACCTTCACTCATTCTCCCTCTTCATCTTCTCCACTTTCTCTCTCTAATCTCTCCAGAAAGGTCTATCTTTCTTTCTCATTCTCTCCTCTCATGGGACATCAACACCCATTCTCTCTCTTTCTCATTCTCTTCTCTCTTTCTCAGTTTTAATGTTTAAAAAAACAAATCTTAGAAAAACAAATAGAAACCCAAATTGATGTATATCAAGTGTGATTCCATTGAATATATGGATTAAGGTTTAGAAAAACACAAACCCAAACACACACAAATCCAAACCCATTTCAGAAACTCATCTCTTTCTTGACGGTGGAGGACGGAGGCGCCATGGCGGGAGAAGAGATGAAGAGTGCTTGTCAGTGGAGGCGATGCGGCAGTGGAGAGCTGTTGTCAATGGTAGCCGCGGGAAATGGAGAGAGGAAGAGAGAGAGTGATCTCTGAGGAGAGAGAGTTTGAGACCGGAGAAGTTTGGAGAGAGAGAGAGAGAGAGGTGCAAATTTGAAAAGGAAAATGCGCCTCTTGGGTTTGTAAGCATTTGTCTTGAGTTGGCAAAGGAGAGAACGTGGGGTGACAAAAAAATAAGAAAACAGAGGTGGGTGGGACGCAGGAGAAAGTTAAGGAGGTCATCCACTACAAGAAAAAATACATTTGGCAACTAAATTTTTAGTCGCCAAAAATCGGTTTTTTAGTTTCCCCGACTAAATTTTTTAGTCGTCGGTTTGGTTGTCGGAAGACGATCGGGAAAGGTATTGGCGACTTAAAAACTTTTTGTCGCCAAAAATAAAGTCTTTAGCGACCAAAACTTTGGTCGCCAATATTCAATTATATTTTTTAAATTATACATTCACCGACTAATTTTTTAGTTGCCAATAGTCAATTATATTTTTTAAATTATACATTTACCGACTAATGTTTTAGTCGTCAATACTCAAGGAATCGGCGACCAAACACCAAACCTTTTAGTTGCCAAAAGCTCAATTGTGAAAAAAAAAATTACACTCTGCTCTTGTAGAGATTCGAACCATCAACCTCTCACACCATAAACTTTATACAACACACTCCTTCCACTATACCTCTATAACACCATATGATTATATATGCAACATATATTGTTTATATAGTACATAGACTCGTATTTATATAAAAGTATATATATAAAGATAATTATTTTTTATTGAACATAATTTATGTAAAAATAAATTATTTACTAAAAAAAAAGAGACTACTTTTGGCGACTAAACATAATTTTAGTCGCCAATTCTATACTTTTGGCTACTAATTATTTTTTAGTCGAGACCACTTTTGGCGACTAAACATAATTTTAGTCGCCAATTCTATACTTTTGGCTACTAATTATTTTTTAGTCGTTAAAAAAAAATTTCTCGCGCTAAAATTACCACTTTTGGCGACTAAACATCTTTTTAGTCGCCAAAAAGCCTCACTTTTGGCTACTAAACATGTTTTTAGTCGCCGAATGCTTCACTTTTGGCTACTAATTTGTTTTTAGTAGCCAAAGGACCTTACTTTTGGCTACTAAAATTTTTTTAGTCGGTAAAAATCACACTTTTGGCGACCAAACAGATTTTTAGTCGCCGAATACCTCACTTTTGGCTACTAAATTTTTTTTAGTCACCAAAAGGCTTTACTTTTGGCTACTAAAATTTTTTTAGTCGGTAAAAGCCATATATCGGCGACCAAACAGATTTTTAGTCGCCAAAACCTATACTTTTGGCTACTAAATTTTTTTAGTGTCCAAAAATCTTTACTTTTGGCTACTAATGCATTTTTAGTCGCCAAAACCTATACTTTCAGTGACCAAATGTGATTTTTTAGTCGCCAAAGGTGTTTTTTCTTGTAGCGATCTCAGCTGTTCTTCTAAATACAGAAATGAATCAGACCATTAAAATGTTTTAGTAGTACAATTGTTTTTAGGATAAATTCAAAAACCCTCTTTCCTTATTATATAGATTTTTGATTTATTATGTAAGATTTATCTCTCTTATCAGATCATTGTGAATAAATTTAAAAATTTAAATTGTGAGTTTCTAATATTATTTTACAAATTAAATTCTGTTTTCCTACATCGTTGAAGGAGAGGATATAGAGAGCCATTAAAACCAACAGCAATGGTAGAAGGCTACAAAAACAGTGGCTCAAATGGCTCAAAATTGCCAAAACGACATCGTTTTGACAGTTTTGAGCCACTGTTTTTATGACCCTCAAACATGTTTCTAAAACCAATGTTAAAATGACTAAACGGGGTCTTCACCTATATTGCCACGTGGCATAATTGATGAAGTAAATTTTTATTTTTTTATTTTTTTTATTTTTTGTAAAAACTGGTTTCTTAGTTTCTTATATGGCTGACGAGCCGGACAGGTTTCCTTTCTAAAACCCCAACTGTGAAATTTTACCATCGGAACTTCTGATGGGTTGAAAATTTTCCATTGGGCCTAAAGATGGGCTGAAATTTTCTTATAGGGTATTACCATGGGTTAAAATTTTCTTATTGGGCCTTGCAAATGGCTTAATGTTTTCCTATTGTTTGGAATTGGGTTTTTACAAGTTAAAAACAAATAAAAATTAAATTTGACTACAATAAATACTAAATAAATATTTTTAATTTAAAAAAAATATTTTTACCCTTTGAAAAGACAGTGTTTTTAATTTCTTTTTAAAAAATTTAAAATAGATTTCAAAAATCAAACCAAACAAAGAAAATGACTCTTTTCAAGTTGATGCCAAACTCATATGGAAAGAATTGGAGACACCAAAAGCTACCTATTGGACTTGACATATGTTCGCAATCACAAATTTTCTCAATTTAGATGAAATGTACTTTGAATTTCAGGACATATTTATCGGTGGAATAGACACTAGTTCTCTTACAATTGTATGGGCAATGACCGAGCTTGCCAAGAACCCAAGAGTGATGAAAAAAGTTCAAGCAGAAATAAGGAGTTACATTGGAAGAAAACCAAAAGTTCATGAAACCCAACTTGACAAGCTCAATTACTTAAAAATGGTGGTGAAAGAGACTTTCAGGCTGCACCCACCGATCACATTTCTAATTCCCCGTGAGTCGATGCAACATTGCAAGATCGGAGGCTATGACGTTTACCCCAAAACAAGAATCCTAGTCAACGCCTGGGCAATTGGAAGAGACCCAGAAATATGGAACAACCCAGAAGAGTTCTACCCAGAGAGGTTTGAGAAGAGTGAAATTGATTTCAAGGGTAATAATTTCGAGCTGTTGCCATTTGGAGCAGGTCGGAGGATTTGCCCCGGTTTGACAATGGGTGCCACAACCGTGGAATTTACTCTGGCAAATCTTTTGCACTGTTTTGACTGGGAAATGCCTTATGGGATGGAAAGGAAAGATATCAGCTTGGAAGAGGAGGCTGGCTTGAGTGTGTATAAGAAGTTGTCTCTTGATCTTGTCCCCATCAAATATGATTGGGAAGGATTTGAAAGTTAGAGGAGGGCATTGTTGTCTACTCATGTTAAAAATAAAAATAAAAATAAAGTATCTATTTGAAATAAGATGGTAGAGCTCTTGCCTGTCCCTAATTGTATGTTAAAAAGTATGTATAAGTCCTTGTGCATGGGAAAAAAAAAAACCAATAGGGGTATCATGCAATGTAATAAATTATTAAATAAATAAACTTTTAAATAAATTATTAAATAAGTAAACTTTTAAATAAATAAGTCTAGTGGTTAGTAACTATTAAATAAACTTTTTTTTAATAATAAATTATACTCGTGATTTTTGTAATTTGTCTTTTGTGTTAGTTGGACTTTATAATTTCATATTTGTATCAAATTTGACATTTAATTTATTATATTTGTGTTAATTTACAGTTGACAATACCTGTTAAAAAACAAACATTAAGAGCAAAATAATTTATTCAAAATGGAATAGATTATTTTAAATTGGACGGCAATCGTTCTATCACTATGAAGAAAGTAAATGAACTATTTAATTTTGGATTTCAATGGAGAATAAATTAGACTAAATTACCACAATTTAAAAAATTAAAATATAAAATTGATGCAGTTAATACTAAGGACCAAATTAAAAGAATAACAAATGTAATTTGTTTGTTTTCGGTGCACTTTAGCAAGATAAAAGAGTAATACAATATTAACAGAATCATTATGATATTACCAAGTAATATTCTATATATATTTGACTTGTTCAATAACCCTAATAATGATAAAAATTCTAATTTCTCGTATAACATTCAAGCTCAAATTGTTGTAAATAAATTAGTGATTTTGAAGTTAAATTTTATAAACTTACTATGTATCTACAACATTCAACTAGTTGAATTATATTTTGTTCATATTATGTATTATAACATTATTATGTTGTACGATTCATAGATGGCAGTCCATTGCTCACATATGAAAAGATTAAAACATTAATACTTGTAAGTGTCTCTTGTTCCCCCAACACCCCATTAATTTACGTCTATGCACGCAGGCCGGGTCTTGTGATTTCTGGAGGCTAAAGTCAATAATTAACTAATAAATTTTTGAGACCTTTCATATTTTTTTTTTATTGAAAGAAAAAAAATGAAAAAAAAATGAAGATAAAAGACAAAAAAATTGTGTCAAAATCACAAAAAATACTTAGTATGACATTACAACAATTAATAAGTATCGCTTGATTTTTGCTCTTCGTGCATTTTTAAAAACAAATAAATCAATCATACTTGTATAATCTAATTTTTTAACAAAATCATTTTCAATGAATAACAATACTAATTATTTTAAATAGGTTTTTTAATTTTTTAATGGGTCAATTTATTTTAAGTTAATTTGAATCTTCCTTATTTTATTTTATTTTTGCATTTAAAACATACATACCTAATATATTATAATAAACTATAATAGGAGGGAACCCTTTTTTTTGGGTCTATTTTCAATGAATCATAATGTTAATTTTTTTGAATGGGCCTTTCAATTTTTTAATGGGTCAATTTATTTTAAGTTAGTTTGGGTCTTCTTTAAATTTTTTTTTAAATTTAAAATATACCTAATATATTACACTAAACTATAATAGAAAGAGCCTCTTTTTTGGGTCTACTTGAGGGGCCTAGGCCATGGCCTTGTTGGCCCGGCCCAGGGCAGGCACTGTATGCACGTGGCACTCAATTTGCAAAAAAGAATTTTTTTTAATAATAATAATAGTATGCATGTCCACTGAATTGAATTATCATGGGATGTTTTAAATTATAAAATGATATTTTTCCTTATCTCCAATGAATTTATACAATTAATGACGTGTGTACCCGTAAATTATCATTCCTCATTTTGAGTGGACTAAATTCATTTTGGACTTGGACAAAACTATTCCCTCATTTATTACAAAAAGTAGTCATTTAAGAAGAGTAACTTATTCAATATAAATAGTGTGTGGGTAAAAATCTGACCACACTGCTTGCTTAGTGATCAACTGGAGAGCACAGGCAGAATAGATGGCTTCAGCAACCTGAAACAGAAAGAAAAGGCTCCGACGGTGGTTCTTCCACCCGGGAGCACTCCGACGATCAAGTCAGTATGTTTCTCAAAGATAATCAAGTGCAAAACTTAACACTTAAAACATAAATTGCATACCTTAGACCCATGGGGGTGCCTCTCTTTTATAATATACTCAATCCAAGTCCTACTAGAAGTATGACTTCTATGAACTCCAATTTAGTGCTTACTCTGGACTCTATAAGAGATAAAGATAAAACTCCCTAAGAGCTTTATCCTTATCTTGGTTAAGTCCCCTCTTCATCTTAGGACTCTTGCCCCTTATCTCGGATTCCGATATCTTCGGCTTAACTACCACGACACGTGGCACCTCGGCTGACACGTCGGCGTCACCATGCCACGTGTTGGTATTCAGAAAATATATCCCCACAAATAGTACTATATGTATCAATTCGTATATTAATTAATATATTAATAAATGATATGATATAATTTTAAAAATTTCATTTATTTGTAACATTAACCCATCTAAAAGTTATGAGCGTTAACCCACAAAAAACCTGCAACAAATTTTAAAAACAATACCACCCATTTGCGTTGTGAGTTAAAGTGACATAATTTCCCACGTGGCCTCTCTCAAATTTTGTAGACTTTGTCATTTATTAAACTCTTTCAAAAGCGTTTAACAAAATTAATAAGAAACAATTGTTTTAGTTACCAAAAAATTAAACGATATTGAGGTCTCGTTTAGCATGTGAGTACTCTAGTTAAAAAGTTATTAAAAAAATTAAAAATCCTATAATCTATATTAAAAAGTCAAAAATTCTATTTTTTCTCTACTTTTTGCACATCTTTTAGTAAAGAACCAAAAAGTTATTCTAAACATGCTAATTTTTTTATCTTATATTTTAGCTAAAAAGTCAAAAAGTTACTAAAAAACTTGTTCCTAATCGAGACTTGAATTTGTGTAAAATTATAGTTACATTAGAACACGTTGGTACGATGGAATAAAATGAGTGGGAATAGAATGAAAGTGGGCATAGAATGAGAGTAAGAATGGAATGGAATGTCCATTCCCATTTCATTGTTTGGTTGTTAACATAGAATGACATAGGAATATGATGATAATTATCATTCTTATGTTTGGTTTACCTATTAAACTCATAGAATAAAATAAATTTTTATCATTTTTTTTTTTAACAAGCTAGTAACAAATAAATTAAAATTTTATATCAATCATGATAATATTAATAGTTGTGAAAGGCATGGTGTGGGTCGTAGTAGTGGTGGTGGTGGTGGTGGTGGTGGCAGCAATGGCGATGGTGGCATCGATGGTGGTGATGGCAATGATAGTAGAATGGAGGTAGTAGATTGTTGTGGCCTTAGTGGTGGTGGCATGGTGGTGTTGTGGTTGCGATGGTGGTGGTGGTGACAACGACAATTATGGCTGCCAACGGTAGTGGTGGTAGTAGTAGTTGTGATGCTCCAAAAATCAAGAACATCAGATAATATATTAATAATAAATATAGGATTTATCTAAGATTACAAAATAGGGAACGTCACTAATGAGTTTTTTGGTTAACAACCAAGTATGATCACAGGAAGGTCGGAGGAGTTAATATAGTCTCCCTTCAAAATCCAATCACCTTATGTAACAAAGCTACCCTTTTGATTGATCTTAGCACAAGGTTTACATGAGTTGACAAGAAAATAAGGAATAGGTAATATAAAAGATATGTATAGATATATAATAATTACAAAATCATGTCTTCAATTCAACATAGGATCTATAACTTATAATTTCAAAATACGTTTACAAACTAGTTTTTAATCCTCCTAGGGTAGTCGTACATCCTCAAATGCTTCATCTTTGCTTTCGACCGGTCTAATAGTCTTTAATACCTTGCATGAAACACCATGAGTTTTAAATGCCCAGTAAACGCACACACACCCTGTCCCTTTTCCCCAATCCAATACACCATCACATTTATAACAAATAAGTAATGAAGCATGATATTCAAGTCAATAATAAGGATTACAAGGTCAGATGTTAGTATTCTAGAAACCCCACAAAGAGATTTCATCCTCCCAATCGCAAGAATTGGACACCAGACTATTCGGAACTCCCTTTTTTGCTGCTTTGTTGTAGAACTTAACTCGGATGTCTATCAGCAGTTATATACCGAATAACACCAACCGCAGGGTCCCTTTTGGCGAAAAGAAAAAGGTTTTCTCATCCTGAATCCAACCATATCCTTCCAAAAAAAAGTTTTATCCTCTTAAATGTCCTATCTGGACTCAACCTTATCTCACCAATCAAACCATCGTAAAGAGTCTGAATATGCCGGTTCCATTCTAAGGTTTACATGACAACCGCTTGCGCAAGACTTAACTTTCAATTAGGAAGCATATCCCGTCAATCCGTACATAACACATTATCATCTCTTCATTACTAAAGTAATTGAAAACCTAATACCACCCCAATTAAGGTTTCCGTTGAGTTAGATGTCTTAAAATAAAGTTAGAACAACTTAATAAGATAGTAATATCCACATAAGTATGAACCTCATCAATTGAAGAAGATAAGGAACATAACCATAAAGCATGCAATATCATACCAATGCATGATCATGTACAAATAAGCATATTTATGAACACAAGAGTATAAAACACTCATTCAAAACTAAATTTATAGATTGAATACCATTTAAAGATTAAAATCAAAAGGGCTATTTCATATTTTTCCCAAACTCGACCTTCCTATTGTTCGTAGAGAATTTAATCTAGTTTTCAAAACATGTTTCGAAAATGTGATAGCTTTTAAGGCCTTGTTTATTTATTTAAGAAACACTCCAGCGCTGTCCAGACTCGTCGATCGTTACGAAAATTGGATTTTCTTACAAACCGCTGACTCTTTTTCAATGAAACAAATTTTCCTTGAAATCTAACTCCACAAGGAATATTTTGATGTAAAACCGAGGTCCAGAAGATTCTTATACATTTTTCGAGAATTTTTGAAAGTTGGTTGTAAAACAAAATTTTCATGCACAATAAGAAGATTTGTGAGAAAAGAAGCCAGTTAAGAGAAATTTTTCACTTATTTTGCGATGAAAAGATACTAAATAATGTATCAATAACTCAGATTTGTATAGTGGTGGTGTGCCTTTAAAAAAATGTGAGATATGGGAAGAAAAAGGTAATTTT